TATCTATCTATCTATCTATCTATCTATCTATCTATCTATCTATCTATCTATCTATCTATCTATCTATCCATCCTAATCTTCTACCGTTGTAACTATTACTTAAACTAGAAAAAAATTATCTTCCTCCTGTGAATGTCACTCGGCAGGTTCCTCTTCAAGCCGCTAGAGGCGCTCTTTCGCCCTGGTTGTAGAGACGTCGCCGTGAACGGGGTTATTCAGTTGAATGTAAGAGCTTAGCGTGATGATGCTAAGCTAACTGTCAGCCAGGTTATCCGCGGGTTTTGCTGCCGAACTTAGCCACCGGATGCTCCCGGTCACATCTTACTGGCCGTCTTGACATTCCTTCAACATTCCTGGACGAATTCGTGTCGACTGACCAGAGTCCGCGAATTCAAGTCCACTCCTGATCTATAACCTCTTCCCCCCCCCCGACAGTGTCTTAGCTCGCCGGCTAACCCGGAGAACCGGACTGACGAGGTAAGTTAGCATGAGGGCTAGCGAGATGAAATGAAGCGTTTCCTCCGAGGAAACGCCGCGGTCTGAAAACCGGGAGGTAGGCCACCCCGGTAAACGTGTACGTAGGGCTAGATAATTGTTTTTAACAAGTCTCATCTGGCTGTCACTCATTTTAACCTCTGTACATATTGAACTTAATCTTAAAATGCTTGTTKTAACATTAATGTTTCATGACTAGTTGGTGATGATAACCTAGTCAGTCAGGCAACCAACCCTACCGTGTGTGTTTCAGCAACCCACCWCCAGCTAACCTGGTTAACTCCTGCTCACAAAAGTGAAGAAATAGCATGAGAATAATTTAAAATATATAAACTTGTTTCAAATTTAGCTGGTAAACGTTTTATTGTCCACACAGTTTAACAGAGGCGGCCAGAGCTCAGTGTTTTGACAGATTTAGTGTTGGCGTATGWATTCAAGCTAACTGCTATTTAAGTATAACCTGAATATCATGACGTCAAAGGTGTCATTGATCGATTTGTGGTAATCATGTTGGCATTTTGTCTGTCGTCAGTGGTATGTTTTCATATCTCGTCCAATCATTCCGGTAGATGCAAAGTTGGGGTCAGCTGTTTGCTCAGGGGCTGCTGTGGCTAGTTGCTAACTAAGTTTTGCTTTGGTGACTGTGCAGAAGAGTTACACTTAAGGACCACACCCAGGCAAGATGTCCCTTCATCAGTTTCTGTTGGAACCTATCACCTGCCATGCTTGGAATCGTGACAGGACACGTAAGGCTCAAATTTCACTGTGTTTATTGTAGAAGCACCCCGATTAGAACATCTCTTTTTGTCTGAAAGCATATCAAGTAACAAGTTGTTAAAACAAACATATGCTAGTTACTGCAGGTAAAGAAAAAAAGTTGATCAGTAAGGAGTTCTCAGCTTTTGACAGATTTACAAATCTTGTCTAACTAGTTTGTCGTCAGTGTGCTATTGTGTTAACCTGCTTGGCTTCTTTTCTTTTCGGCTTCAGAGATTGCCATTAGTCCTAACAACCATGAAGTTCATATCTACAAGAAGAGTGGCAACCAGTGGGTGAAAACCCATGAACTGAAGGAGCACAATGGTCACATAACAGGTAATTTGATTTGACAGTGCTTGTTGAATCTGCTGTAGTTTCCATGCCAGTGGGAGCTGCCAGATAGGAAATGTCAAACTATCGCTCTGTTGTTTAAAGTGTTGTATTTTGAACCAAACTAAATGTGCTGAGTGAGAGTTGTGCAAACTGGGCCTTAAAAGCAAACTACGCTCTTGTCTAAAATAGTCTCCCAACTTGATAACTGGGGTCACATTGGTAGARGACTTTAACTGTGCAGTGTTTATTTTGTTAGCTGATGAGAAGTAGTGTAACAAATGTCTGAACATATCTGGAYTTGATTGAATGTTTGAACAATGACAACATTCACAATGTGAGTGGTCTTGAATGAAAAGATTCTTTTTGCTGCTTGAATGGGGCCTTGTCTAAATGTAGAGACATTGCCTTGTAAGCCATTTTTTAAAATAATCATGGTGTTGCACTTGCATTTGTCCTCTTGCTGACCTTTGTTTATCCATGTCTATAATAAATACAAAGCAAAAGGATGCATGTTTACAAAAAGTATATTAAGATTAAATATCCTCAGTTTATCAAATATTTGCTCAAGTTTCTTCTGAAAACCGGTAGTTTTAAGTACTTGCACTTAAACCTCTGTTTTGTACTCCTGTTCTAGGTATTGACTGGGCTCCCAAAAGTGACCGTATAGTGACGTGTGGAGCAGACCGAAATGCCTATGTGTGGTCTCAGAAAGAAGGAGTGTGGAAGCCCACACTGGTCATCCTCAGGATCAACCGAGCGGCCACCTTTGTCAAGTGGTCACCACTAGAGAACAAGTTTGCTGTTGGCAGTGGAGCTCGACTTATCTCTGTCTGCTACTTTGAGTCTGAGAATGATTGGTGAGAACTTCACATCAGTGTTAGCATTCTCTAAAGGAATTTGAAACATTCAGTTCTTCATGTTCTGTTTAACTGAACTATTTAGTCTGAATCTGTTATTTTTACAGTAATATATGTAATGTGACATTTTCTTAAAGCTGTGTTTGTTAAATGTTTCTTTTTCTCRTGGGTCAGGTGGGTGAGTAAGCACATAAAGAAGCCAATCCGCTCCACCATCCTCAGTCTAGACTGGCATCCCAACAATRTCCTCCTGGCAGCTGGTTCATGTGACTTTAAATGCAGGTAAAATAAATCTACAGAAATAAGTTAAAACACAAAATGCTTAAATAAAAACTGAAGGTGTGATGACTAAAAACTGACCAGCCTCATTACTTCTTCTGATTTCTATTTCCTTCTCTTGGCCCCCCTCCCTCTTGGGCCTCCAGGGTTTTCTCAGCCTACATTAAGGAGGTGGAGGAGAAACCAGGCCCCACACCCTGGGGCAGCAAGATGCCATTTGGGGCCGTGCTAGCAGAATTTGGGGGAGCAGGTCTGTATTTATGTCCTCGTTCACGTGACTTGTCATAAATCTTAAAACTAAACTGTTGTTTTTTTTGTGCTGTGTGTGTGTGTTAGGGGGAGGGGGATGGGTTCACTCTGTTTCTTTCTCAGCCTCTGGGAACCGTCTGGCCTGGGTCAGCCATGACAGCACTGTTACTGTGGTAGACAGCTCCAAGACTGCCAGGTAGGATTATTTCTACTTATTCCGCCCAAGTTTTATTATTTTGTGGGAAAACAAATGTTTATTGTTAATAACTTTACCTGCATAAAGTAGGGGTGTAAGAAAATATCGATACRCTGAAATATCGCGATATTTCATTTCCCGATACCRTATCGATATTCAAAAGCCCTGTATCGATTTTTTTATTAAGGTTTAAAATGTCAACTTTCCTGCCAGCCGTTCATTTTTATGTTGTAGTTCAGCCTCTGRCCACTAGTTGGCAGCAGTGAGCCAGCCATTTGGTTCATTTACCTCTTGAGGTAGAGGCTATTGTTAAGTGTTGGGTGACCATTTTGTGAATTAACATTAAAAACTAAAAGCTGCAAAAAATCCATTTTCAAACTATTTATTGGCAAAATTTAGTCTAATAATTGAAAACATGGATGAAATAAGAAATAGGAAACAAACAAAATAAAATACAAACAAAGCAGAACACAGCTAAATGTATCAAAAATATGTCTATGTAATATTAGAATTTTCTGAGACAATGAATTTTGGTTTTTCATTTTTTTTCCAGTAAGAGGTTTTTATTTAATAGAATTTTTGGACAAAAAAATTGCAATATATTGCAATACTTATCTTATATATCGCCTTGTTTACAGTATCGCAATATATCGTGATATATCGTGACCCCTCTGTCATGATATGTAACGTATCACCAAATTCTTGCCAATACACAGCCCTAGCATAAAGCTTATTCATAAGATGGGCAAAAGTTGTCTTTTTTTGTTGTTTAAATTAAAAGATGATCCTTAAATGACCAACAATGATGCTGTGAATACACAGCAATGCAGCAACGCAGCAAAATAAACTGAATTGTTGATTTTTTTTCCTCTGACTGAGTAAAAATATGATCAAATACTTGTCTTTAAAACCAAGCTGGCTTTAAGAGAGCGAGAGGGATTATTTGTGTCATACATCTGATCATGAATAAGTAAATAATTCTCAATAAGTCTCTTTCATTAAATTTAAATTGCTGGTGCACTTATTTTAAAAACCTGTCCATTGCATAAAAAAGAGAATGTGGTTGTGTCATTTTTTACAAGCGAGAATAGATGTTTTACTTTTTAATGGTTTGTTAAATTACTGATGAATTCCTATAATTAGAATGAATGTTAATACAAGTTAGCTGAGCAAATAGGTTTCTTAGTTTGTTGAAGAAATACAAAAAGAATGAACAGCAGACCACATTTGAATGTTTGTACTCTGCTCTCTGTGTGTTCAGTCCCTCACAGCTAAAGACAGAGTTCCTTCCTCTCCTCAGCGTCATTTTCATCTCAGAGAACAGTCTAGTAGCAGCAGTAAGATTAACACACTAAACATTTTTATCCTCAGACCTGAGTGGAAATAATATTAATAACAAAAATGAATGTTTGCACCATCAGGGCCACGACTGTTGCCCTATGCTGTTCCGTTGTGACGATGGTGGAACAATGACRTTTGTGTCGAAGCTCGACCTCCCCAAGCAGAGCATCCAGAGGAACATGTCGGCTATGGAGCGCTTCAGGAACATGGACAAGAGAGCCACCACCGAGGACCGCAACACAACCCTGGAAACACTGCACCAGAACAGCATCACGTAGGTCACACACCAAATGTAGACGCAGATAGTGAAGATATTATGAATGCAAAAAGGTGTGCTTCAAATTCTGTAGTGCGAAGTTGAGATGTATAAAGAAAAGGTGCGCAGGAACCTGCGTGCGCACAGTTTTATACATTTGAATTTTTTTGGTGCGGCACACTTTTCTAAATTCGTCCGTACGTCTACTTTTAGTGTGAAAGCTGCGCAGTCCTTTATGCATGAGGCCCCTGATTATTAAAATGCCAAAATAATATTGGAAACTCCTTGTAACATTTTAGTAATGAAACAGTCTTCTTTTACCCCAATCATGTCTTTCAGAGCTGCTGCTCATCGTCTGTGACGGGTTACAAGCCAACATGCAGCAAAACATAAAAATCCCATCTGTGCTAAAATTCTGCTATAAATATCAGTTTACTTACTGATACTTTTGTTCCAAACAAAAGGCCAAAAAAACAAATTTCAGATTTTTTTCAGATCTTCATCCATTATTTGACACTTAATCAAGTTCTTGCTCTTTAATTTTGTTCATATTTGGATATTGCCTTTTTTTAATGATACTTAAAGCCCAGACTGAGAGTTTCTACCTGAATTATTTCTTATAAGAAAGATGGCCAGCTTGGTTCTGTCAAGCACCAGAACTCCTGCTGTTAGTTTAGTATAAAATGTTTTTTTTTAGCTCAGTTCAAACATAAAGAGATTCTGTTTCTTTTTTATTTTAAAGCTTATTGTGAGCTGATGTGTTTCCTGATCAGTAATATCCTGGAGGTTTTACACATTTAGGCTCTCACTTCTGAAAATACAGTATAATATTATAGTTGTCTAAATATTAAAGCAATAGTTCAGAGCTTTTGATTGGGGTTCTGTACAAGTGTTATGAACAATATCTTACCTGTTGTAGGTAACTATAAACAACATCAGTTTGGAGACATAGTGTTTAATTTTGGGTAGATTGAGAAGTTGGTGGCTAGTCCATCTGAAAACATCTCGTGCTAAAAATTTGCAGCAGTTCATGGTGACACTATCTTTACAAAATTTACCATCAGTTTTTCGTTGCACTGTTATTTGCAAACACAAATGGCAGCTAGCAGCAGCTAACTGTAGCACACTTGGTAAAACATGGTGCACTTCTGGYGGAAAGATATTTCTGACAGGTTATCCATGACAGGAAAAACTTAACATAATGTAAAGGTTTATAAAATTGCATTTGGAGCATTTTTTTTTAAACTGTAGTTTTAAGATGGCAGTGGTTTTGGCCCCTCTTAGAATAGCCATTAATTTGTCAATCTTGTCAGAATTAGATTATTTTTTCAAACTGAAATGTCTCAAAGAGGGATTTACAACAATCTTTGTTTTTTTTAGCCAAGTGTCTATCTATGAAGGGGACAAAAGGGATTGTCGCAAGTTCTGCACCACAGGCATAGATGGAGCGATGACCATTTGGGACTTCAAGGTAACTTTTTTTTTTATGTTGACGATTTAAAAACAAAATTATTTCCTTTTCGCATCATTTGGCACCGACTCCTTCTTGTGTTTATGTCCTCAGAGCCTAGAAGCTTCTATCCGGGGTCTGCCCATCATGTGAAGACTTTATATGAATGAATGAAGAGACACTGCGAGCTCCCTTTTCCCTCTCGCTCACTCCCCCCACCCCCCTCTCTATCTCAGCCTCTCCACCCGTGTGACGCAGCCAGTAACGTACATAACTGACCACCTTATTGAGTGTCTGCTAAAGCACTGATCAGACCATATATACACTCGTGTGAGTGTGTACTTACATGCTCACAATTACACACACACACACTCTCAAAACACAAACACTAAACACACTAAGCTGACGTGTGAGATCACTGATTATATATATTTTTTGTTTGCTTTTAAATGAAGATTAACCAGGTGTAAAGTGGGATGGTTTTCTGACACGTAATAAACGTGATGTGAAGTGTGTGTTTTTATGTTCTCTAACCTCCAGTACCAAAAGCGAAACACTAAACGGTGCGTTTTATCCAAAAATCAGACTGTATTTCACCTCGGAGCAACCATGACATGATATTTCAATATAGGTGTTGAGTACTGTACGTTCGGTGATGGGATCTGTTTTCTCACTGGAGGATGGTATCTCTTTCAGTTGGTGAAATTAGTTTTTTTTTTTTTTGGTTTAAGACCTGGGCTCATGAATATTCTGAGTACATGTTGATGGTTTTCTGTTAAAACCTGTACAGAATCTGACGGTGAAAAGAAGGAAGAGGCTGTTTCAACTGTGTGTGGAGTCATGGCTGGCCAGCATTGGGCTCTGTAGCTGAAACACTAGAAACACACACGATGGAGGATTTCTATGTAACTGATCATGAGTTAGACATGAAATAAAGATGAAGAACATTTACACAACACGACTAACTGAAGTGCTTTTTTTAGTGTGTGTGTGTGTGTGTGTGTGTGTGTTTAGGGTTTAATTTCTGAATGTTCAGATAGTAAATATGCTGGCTGAATGTATCGTGTTGAGTGTTGCATTAAAGTTATTAGTTCAAAGTTAGTTGCATTTTCTCGAGATTCAAGCATGCTTCAAGGGTTACATAATTTTAGTGAGGTTTCCTTCTCCACTTTTCTGTAAATGATTAATAATACCAGCGTCACATTTTTAAAGAACCCCGAACTTATTAAACTTCCTTCCATTAAGCCTGATTTTTAATCCTTTGAAAAGTGTTTCCAATCAGAATTCAGTCCTGAATGGGTATCAGTTTTTCCTCTGGTATTTAGCTGCTTTTTCACCCATTTTCTGACCATTCTTTATACATGATCACAGCAGCCAATTGTTCCGTTTATACATAAAATAATTAAAAATAAAGTCAACAAGTGGAGGACAATGGAAGAATAGAATAGTCAGACCTAAGAATCAGCAGATAAAAAGTATCTAAAAGTCATGTGATAAAGAGGAAAAATAACATCCAAGACCTGACTGGAGCTGAGATGCATTGTTCCTTTGTTTTTTAGCTATTACCTCCTTGGTGCTACAACACCATTTGTGGGTCATATAGTTATTTTTCATTCCCTAAAAATGGTAACATTTCTTTAAGACAGGCTCATTAGTGTTTATTGGTGCTGTGACACAGGGCAGAAGCAGCTGGATGCATTCAAAGGCATTCTGTTTCATAATACTGTACAGATGGACAATGACATAACAAAGCCAAAGCAAACCAGGATTTTAATAAAGCAAAGGAGTGAAATATTCTTAAATGTTCAAGTCAGTCACCTGATCTCAGCCCTAATGAGCAGCATTTCACTTGTTAAAGACTAAACTTCAGACAGGAAGGTCCACAAACAAACAGCAACTGGAAACCACTGCAGTGAAGACCTGGCAGAGCATTAAAAAGGAAACCCAGCATCTGGTGATGTCCATGAGTTCAAGACTTCAGGCAGTCATTGCCAACAAAGGGTTTTCAACAAAGTATTAGAAATAAACATTTTATTTACAATTATTTATCCAAATACTTTTGTAGAAATGTATCAAATTTGTTTAAAAGATGCTTTAGTTCCTCACATTTTTATGCAATCAGTTTGTTCAACTCACTGAAATAAAGCTGAGTCTGAACTTCAACTGCTTCTGAAATGTTTTCTTCAAAATGTATTGTGGTAATGTACAGAACTAAAAATTAGGAAAATGTCCAAATATATATGGACCTAACTGTACAAATATATAAATTATATTATTAAATGAGGATTTTAAACAGGTTTCATTGCTAGTGATTTAAAACTTTGTTTTGGACGTTTTATGAGCCGTCTGCTCTTCTACCCTCTGGGAGGCTACAAGAACTTCAAAACTAAAAACTAATAACTAGTTCTCTAAAGCAGACGTTAAAAAAATTAATGCTTTTCTTGAACTTTTAAGATAATTTAGAGTTGCATTGATCACCTGACATTTATTAATATTTGATTTGTTTTTTGCCTTTGTGGATTATGTATATTTTTGTTCACACTGGTATATAT